TTTCTCCATGCACCCCCACTGCCTCAGTACGTATTTTGGTTTATTGAACAAAAAACTTGGCAGTCCATTTCAGTGATCTTTTCAAGTCAACTTTTACACTGCTGCATATTCATTCCCAGGTATGTCGTCTGTAATAAAATCACTCTGCCCTTGATCAAACATTGACCTATGCACATACATTGATTTTCATGTCCATGCGCAGCCTTACTGGTTTCAGTGGGACTGCCTGCATGTGCACTTCAAGTTTAATGCAGATGGAGTCCTTCGTGTGATTTTTTTAGCAACAGCAGCAGAGTACAAAGCTGCTGCTGCATCGAACAGCAGCAGACTGATATTCAGGTAATTTGGAGGATCAGGTCAAAGCGTTCAAGTAAGGATGGGGAGCACATGTCCATTTTCCTTTAAGCAAGGACCCGTTTTTGCTGTTGCTTAAATAACAAAGTGGCAAATTTTCCAGAGGATATTCACACGGAAGAGCACACCTGTGATCCTCCCTTGGGCTACAAACTCACGGGAAGGAGAGGAGGAGGAGGTCGCAGCAGTGCTTATAAACAGACTCAAATACTGAAATTCAGGGATGCCAAATATTTGCCCAGTGCTATAAATCAGCACAAGGAGGAAACACAGGACAATATTTACTTTCTTCTCTCAGCAGCCAAAGATACTCCTTTCTTTCAGACAGCCAACTGGACCTGTACCAGCTCTTACAAGCACAGTTTCCTCCTTTCACATCTGCCATAGCACAGCTGATGTTGATGAGACTCCGCCACTTCCAAACCAAGGAGCTATTCACTTTGTAGTAAAAAGATCTACAAAAAAAAAAAAAATCATTTAAACCCTGAAAGACTGGGAAAACATTTTCAAAGCCCCGAAATGAAACTCAGAAACTGAAGAACTGCAGACCTCATCAAACGTTCCTCACCAGGGTGTTTGCAAATGCTGTTCCCTGTGTTTAACATCAGGGCAGTTTCCTAAATCACTTTGATCACAGGTGTTTCTTACACTTTAAATTACAAAAAAAATGTCTGCTTCTTCTATAGCTGGGGCTTTTCCCTGGGCTTTTATGCAAAAATCTCTATTTAAATGAGTTTCTGCATTCTAAACATTAGAAATTTAAGAATATGATTTGAATTAAAAAGTCTATTACACTCTGGCTCCTGAAAGCAAGTTTCAGGAATACATTTGAGTAACTATTTTCACATGAGCTATTCATTACCAGCAAAATGGGACTTCCAAGGGTCCCTTACCCCAAAACCAGTCAGAAGAGCATGTTGGGGGTGGAATTATGACTAACTTTCATAGCACGTTTCAGCATCTTAATAAATAAAAAGACCACAAGGTTCACATGAACAGCAAAATGCAATGCACATAGGTGACAGGCAGAATTTAACATGTTTTTGGAAATTCTTCTGCAGAGCATGCAAAGCTTTGCACCTCCAGCTCCAGAGCTACCTGCCTGCCTGTTGCAGCTCCACAGATGACTGGCAAGGGGTCAGGAGGAAGAGAAGCCTCCCCTGTGCAGGATGCCCCTGCCTCCCCACCAGACTCACCATCAGGCAGCTGCAGAGCCAGCGACAAGCTGGGGACAATCAACATGGACTCAGACACCCATAGCCTAGGAGAAAAGGCAGGAGTAATAAGGAGCTCAAATGAATTCAGACTCCCAAAGATAAAAGTGGTGCAACTCAGCACACACAGGGGAGCAGGGCAACGCAGCAGACACTTTGGCTTCAAAATCATTAACTCACACGCTCCGTTTTCAGTAGCTTCACACTGTCGTTTCTAGCTCTTCGTAAATAGAGGAAAGGAGAGCATTGGCACTTAATAATTTACACTGGATCTCAAAACTGAAAGTAGGGCAGCCTTCATTTCCCCAGTGCTGAGGGATACGGGATGGCTGACAGGAGCAACAAGACACTGTGTGGGAGCAGAGGCCAAAATTTCTGTTTATGCAAAGGAGGCTCCACAAACGGGCCGCTGGAGGCTTTCCACGAAGGAGAATTGTCCTTCTTCTCCTCTCCGTCTTTCCTGCTTATTTTGGAGTTGCGGGGAAGGCTGCAAGAGTGAGAGAGGAGTTTAAACTCCAGCTTAAAAAGAAAATACCAGCCCCACTAGTGTTTTCAGATCTTCCCAAAACAGAGGCCAGAAAACGTGCATGAGGGGCTGCTCTAAAAATCAAGAGCTAGCAAAAGCATGAGCCATGTAGTAGCTGGTCTCTCAGAGACAGAACAGATCAGGGCTGGTATTTCCAGCTCACTTCCAGAAGCCACTTAGCTATCTCACTGTCTTCGCTGCCAAAGGAAGCTCAGAGAGGGGAACCACCCATCCAGGACTATCTGAATTATTCACCAGAGACACTCAGCTGATACTATTTCCCACCTCAGTCCCTTCAGACAGTGCTAAGTTCATAGTCAAATCTTTAGCCACTTCCCCTGTGCCCAGCTGTGCCACAGACCATAAGCTGACAAGGTCTGCCAGGGTGAGAGCACTGCAGGACCTGCCCTGGGCATTTTGTTGCCCCCAAGCCATATCGCAGGGACACAGCACCAGTTACATTCTGTGTCAGTTCCCATTCCTTTGCTATCCAGCATTTGGAGGCCAAATTTCGGGCTCCAGGGAGCTCACGTATTTGAGGTCAATTTTACCTCCTTTAAAATCACAGCTAAAACTCTCCAAACTGGCCCCAGAGCCATGTATACTGCATAGGGAAAGTCCCCCTCCTTGAGCTTTCCATCACTCACTGAGGGGTTGCATGTCCCCAGGAGAAATGGCACCACAGAGCCAGGCTACATGAAAGCTGGGGCTCTGGATGGTTTCCAGGATGGGACCAGCCTCCATCCACGCGCCGCCGTTGTCATCCCAAAGAACAGCAGCAACCAGCAGAGAGACGTTTACAGCTGGATGGGGCAGAAGGCTGGATGGTCTGCTGGCCTGATGAAACTCCACGCCAAAACCACCAAGCTCCTCAGGCTTCGGCAGTTTCAGATGTTCACACTTCGGCCGAGGCAAGCTGATACAGACGTGTAGGAGGGTGCTAATAGGCCACTGGTCTCCATTTGTTTTACAGCAGATGCTTGTGCATCTGTTTAATACTTGCACAGCTACTTGCACCACTCAAAGCGGAGGCCCGTGGTGTTTATCAGCACAGGCAGTGACAGGCAGCTTGTCGCAGCCGGCACCTGTGCTGCTCCAGATGGGTACACGAGGCAGTCTGGCTATATGGTGCACAGTTCAAGCACCTATCTAGCTACATTCATCCTATGAGAAAAGAGGTTTGCTTGAACCACAGGGTTTCTCAGTACAGGCTCACGTCAGGAGTCCCAGTGGCACTGCTCAGCTAATTTATTGTAGTTTCCTCACTAAAAAGATTTTCAAGAATGTCATCCTGTCCTCTATCAAACAGAACTGATTTTACATCTTTAGCATGGATACATTAGGATTTAACTAGTTACCACACAGTATGTCAGAAAGGTAGCTAAGTTCCCTGATTGCATCTGAGACTTTAAATTAAAAGCTTTTCCTTAAACAGAAACTTTGTACCTGTACATGAGGGGCTGCACAGCTTTGGTACCTACAGAACACACACTGCAGGCACATCTATCTTACATGTAACACATATTGGGGGAGCGGATTTCTTTGACTATAAAGGGGGGGGGGGTCAAAAAGAGAAATGATCTGCCTTTCTGTGTTCTCAGCAGAATAGAAAGCAAGGGCCAAACTCACTAACCCCTTGCTCCAATAAGCTGTTATTATTCATGGGAGCAAAATCTGTTTATACCAACACACTCATTTGAGTACAGGTTGTGGAGCTGGGCTCTAAATCCCTGTGTAACAAAGCCTTCATAATGATCTCAAGTTTGTTCCCAGAGCTCTGAATAAGCACCATTATGAAATGGCTTTGTGCTGGGTAAACACCATAGAAAGGAGTGGCCAGGCTGGAGGCTGAGCTGTGGGGACAAGCTGAAAAACTCAGGCAAGTGTCTGTGTATGGAGAGCTTTTTTCCAAAGCAAGCTCTGCAAGCAAGAATGAGGCTGGATTTTCCCAGTGACCACACTTTCAGCATCCCGACCTTTCCTTTCCAAATATAATCCGCTATTCAGACTCTGACACAGCAGACTGGCCTCTGCGTATCACGCTGACATGCAAGCCCGGGCCCCAAGTCACCGCAGTAGCTTAGCCTAGCTTGTTCCAGTTTTTTGTTCTGTTTTAAATGGGATGTCAGCCTCCACCTGCCAGCCCACACGCCTGGTTTGTGTTTGTAGAGCTGGTGCTTTTACAGCCAGACTTGATACCAGAATTTGGGGAATTAACTGGAAGGGTTGATGTCCTTCAGAGAGATGAAATGTGTTGTCAGGAAACACTTAGTAGACTGATGGGATGTCCCAGGCAGGCAGGCAAGTCTGTCTTTTTAATTGTGCATGGCATGATCTGAGTTCATAGGCACGACAGCGAGTTGTGCTTTCACTGAAGAATCTTCCAAAATGAGTCAAGAGGAATCTCCAGAGGGCAGAAAAGGCACGTAAAAGTAAACTGATCAGTTTAGATAACATGCCACAATCTTGGTCAAGTAGATGTGGTTTGATACAGCTGGAACTCACAAGCATACAGAGAATCCAGCAAAAAATCTCTCATATCCTTTCAGAGGAACATTGCTGACTGGCGAAAAACATGCACAGGAAATCAACTGAGGGTGGGGAGAGGGAGATCATGTAACAAGTCTTCTGTCTCGGCTTTCCTATGTTGGCCACACTGGCTAGTAGTGGTGCTGGTACCCAGCTGCTGGGGTAGTGCCATTCTCTATGTGTTTCAGATGACAGGAGTGACAAAGCAAATGTTCATCCAGCGGGTAACAGCGATGCCCGTCTTCGTCATTCAGCTCCATTCCACAGTCCTGCAAAGAGAGGCCATGCAAATTATTAGAGCATGTGTTCATCTTCCAGTGTCAAACGACGTCTGGCTTCAAGGAGAGTAATTTTGTGACAAGGACAGAAGACACACAGCGAAGAGCTCCCTCCTAGCAAGTCCAACATTTGCTGCGAGAAGGAAAGCATCTGACATAGGCATTCTGAGGGACAGCCTTGCATAAATTTGTCTTACATGGTTTTATTGAATCAGCTTTATCTCACGGTGAGGCGCAACCATATGTATTTTAAATGTGCTCGTGTCTCCTTACACTCTCAGGTAGGATTCACCTCTTCACATTACATTAATTGCAGTTGTACTGATGTAAAACTGGCCTCCTCAGTCAATGCCTCTTTCCACTGTATATGAGCACAGTGGGAGAAGACATCTATTTATTTTAATTCTCAGAGAATAAGTATGAAGGCTCCCTGGGAAGCCCTGTGCGGAGACAAAATGGTGTTTAAGAACTGGCATCTCTTGGGATTCTTTTGTGCAGCCACATCCCTTCTCCAGCCCTGATGACACATTCATTTCCCATGAGAGTGAAGGTAACTTACACCAGATAGGATCAGTCATCACCTTAGCATTTTTGAACAATCTGACTTGGAAATCAGATATACTAATGTGATCTGGAGCTCAAGGCTTCTGAAAGGCAGCCACAGAACCTTACTAAGTCACCACGTTTCCTTCATTAACAAATAAACTGCTGAGTTTAAAAGTGATAATTAACTCCTTGCCCATAATTTTATGGATAGCAGAAGAAATCACAGCTGAGACACATTGCTGCAAAAACTTTTGTCTTCAAAATGGAAACTTCTTCACCACTGATAGAAAGGGTTGCACAATGAAAGGTTTGAATTGCTCATTTACAGCCCTTGGAAGGGAGATTTATTTACATCTTAAAAATAATAGTAGTTATCACTATTAGGTGCCCACTCCCTGAGAAAGCTGCTGACCTACCTCGCAGTGATAACATTCCACGTGGTAATCCTTGTCCATGGACACAACCCGAATGGTCTCATCAGACCCCTGTAAGCATTCAAGCAAAAGAGAAATTACACAGGATTACAGCAGGATCAGAAAGACTCTGTAGATTGCTCCCTGCAACAACGTGAATGTTGAACAAATGCATTTGAGATGCTGGTTGGACACCGCAAATAAATCCTGCCACCTGCAGTTATTTTTACAGTAAAGCTTTATGATCAACTTCAGATAACCTCTAAAATGTAACATCAGAAATGTTAAATCCTCTTTGCTTTAACAGTCACATCTATCCCAAATCAGGCATTAATGATTTGGCAATTTCAATATATGACATTTCTCAGCATTTTAAATTGGTTTTGCCCAAGATTCATCTCCTCCAAGTATTAAAACGAGTTCGTCCCAGAGGGGTCACACAGAGGTCTTTCACGAGCACCAACAGCATTCATTGACATTAAGGAAAGGTATCCTGAACATAAAACTAACAGCAGTAGAATCCTGCAGGAGATGAAAAAAGCAGCTTGGCTCAGCAGAAATAAGCTTCATTATCAAGCAAAAGAAGGGTCACATCCCAAGGGCAGCGTATGAGCCTAGGTCAAAAGGTTGTAATGCTGGAGGAACTGATCATCTCTCCCCATCCCCAAGGACATTCGTCTTGACATAGGGTCGTGTGAGAGAGAACAAGGCCTGAGACATGACACTCCTTCGCCAGAGGGAATACAAAATAAAAGGCTCTCACCTCGGAAGGCAGAATGGGAAGCCCACACGCTGCACACTTTGGAGCTAAAACTCTAGAAAAGCAATGAGAAAGTGAAGGTAAGTTATAGATCAATATAAAAAGAGAGGCTTGTATGTTTTCAGTGATAAGACGAAAAGCTGCAGCTGTAAATAACTTACCCATAGGAAAGCTTTACATCCCAAGATCATAAACCCATTTTATGATTGATTGTAAGTAACGCGTGGCACACATTGCTCAGTCAGGCAAAAAGAGATTTTACATTTAGTGACAGAAAAAAACAAAACCCACTGTAGAATTTTGGCTGCTACTGAGAGATTTGGAAGAGAAAATGGGGAGAAACTGAGCAGGACCGTCCCCAGAAAAACACATTACAAGAAGTGGCAGCCTTGCATCGGGACAGGAAACCTCAGAGAAGGCACCATGAGACCGTAAGGTTCCTTAAGGCCTTACAACACAGCGTAACACGATAAGTAAATAATTGAATGAAATAGTAAGGAAACGTGCATCATTTCAGAACAACGGTGGCACACGGAGGCAACTCTAATCTTGGCACAACACAGAACACTTCCCAGGGCTGCCTGAGCAACACTTAATACTCTGCCTGCTCAGAAAATGGAGCAAGGAGCAAAGCGAACCAAATGGACACTCAAAATGTATGCAGCTCTAATATCACGACTACCAGCCAAGAGCACAGCCATTTTATTTTACTAAATGACAAGTGGTTTTTTAAGTGGATTTAACGGTTGTTTAATTTAGAGCTGGATAAAAGTTTCACTTTGATTTCTAAAAGCATTCTTTAGAAGTCAAACTCAGCCCTGCAACTACTCAGAAAGCAACTCACATTGATTTCAACAGGCATTCACAGTCTTACTTTACAGTGGACTGATTTCTTACATCACTGAACACTTCGTAAACACTGTTTCTCATTATCTCTGCTTTGCAGAAGGGGCAGCTGAAGCCGAGGAGTTAAGTGACTTCCCCAGAGTTACGCAGAAAGTCAACGGCAGGGCAATCTAACTTCTAACCCTGTCCCTATTTTATGAATCCACGCTTCCTAATTAGCTGAAAAGCTAAATTAGAGGCTTCTTGACTGGAGCATCTCTGCCGTTTATTTTGTCCTTACTTGTGGTAGTCTCTGACACAGTAGATTTTGTTTTCAGAGTCTACAGTGAATGGCACACCATCCAGACACTCGTTGCAGACCACACATCGGAAGCAGCCTGGATGATATGACTTCCCTAGAGCCTGCAGGATCTGCAACAAACCAAGAGACAGGAAAAAATCACATGAACAGCCAATAAAGGTGAAAATAATAAACACACAGCTTAACATCAGACAATGCTGCATATTCATCAGTGGGGCTGTGTCTTTTTTTGGGCACCTTATCTGAAAAATGAGTTAACAGGGATGGAAAGGGCAGCTGGAATCAATATGTATCATCTGGTTCCAGAGAAATGAATTATTAGCATGGGTAAGAAAATAATTTAGAGTCTCAGTCAAGTTATTTAGCATTACAAACAACAGAAGTGACAGAATTTAAAGGAAAAAAAAAAATTTTCTGAAGCCAACAGCTAAAGAACACCTAGCAGGATCACAAGGCAAGATGCACCAAGCCAAAGAAAGGAAATACATCTTTATATTCTGCATGTGAGGCTGAAACAAATAATATTGCTAGGTTTTCATAATGCCTGAGATATCCACGAGCTTTGTACTCTCTAGCCTGGCTTTCTAATTAATACAGACTACGGAAACTGTATTGAACTCAACAGCTGCAATTCACCTGCTGGCTTTGGGGCAGCAATACTACCTGGAATACCACTTCTGAGTATAAAATAGCTTTTCCTTTTAATGCTTTCCATGTAGGCAGGCAAGTAAAGATAATTAACGATAAGCATCAGAAAATCTTGGGAGGCGTGCTGTGAACTAACCACTCAGAAATTCCTAATTTCTTCACCTCAGCCATAGCTCACCAACTACATGACCATGAACATGCCTCCCCCGGGATCACCCACAACTGAACACTGCCCGGTGCTGGCTAAAGGCCAGCTGACCCCTGAGCCATGACCCACTCCATCCAAATCTTGAACAGATGGTACCTGTTGTAGGCTAATGAGAACTGCCTGCTTCGGCGGGACGTCCACACATCTACTGAACAGTTTTCAGGGACTTGGACAGATCTGAACTGAGGTCTGAATCTTGTAACTCTGGGTCAAACTTATTCCCCAAGGTATCAGTCCAACACCTTCCAGCAACTACGACAAGCAGCAACAAGACGGCAGCTTCATCCTGAAGGTACGTGGGAAGCCACAGCTCGACTACAGGAAAGACAGGCTCAGCAGAGCTGTACTGATGCCCCACAGCAAGGGAGCACTGCAGAGCCACAGCACTTCTGAGCAGGAAGCATCCACAGGAGTGGATGAATACACTGTCCAGGGAAGCCCCAAAGGGGATGAAAGAGCTGAAGGCTCCGATTTTCCATTTGCACTGAAAACAGGCAGAGCAAAGTCTCTGCATCGCATACAGCAGGGTGCCAGCTTCACGTCCTCGCAAAAATCAACAAAAGGCTTAGTGGATTTTCTTTCTGCTACCAATCTCACACTAGGCAGACTAACAGATGATAACAGACAGTACTGGATATGAATATATTTTGCTTTTGATGCATTCTTCTAAAGAGCTGTGGGATTTTTTTCTCCTAAAGCAATTATCACTTACCATGTCCATTATCAAATGACCACAAATGAAACACCTGTCAGCTGACTGCTGGAAACCAGAATACTGCAAGGACAAAAAAGAACTGGCTTAAAATTTCACAAGGCTAGTTGAGCATAAACAACAGCATATTCTGGGGTGTTATTTGCTTGGCCTTTTTCCGTACTCCTTACATAAGCTAAACTTTCCAGTGCTTTTTCAGTATATGAAGCTGTGGATGGGTCCCTAGAGGATATTCTATAAAAACATTGGACTTCCACTGTTCAGAAGGAGTATAAGTTCCGGTAACTAAATTTAAGTTTAATTAAGTATGTAAGTAAATACCATAAATGTTTGTGCAAATACAGCATAAGACTTACATGCAGGAACTTATTTACCACAAATTCATATCACAACATCTGTGTATATATATAGGCTTGTAAAGCCAAATTCTTGCTTTGGTTACACCGTTACAGGTCTACTGGAGCTTCTACGAAGTCTGTGGTATCGTCCCAGCTCTCTGATAGCAGAAGACTCAAGTTTGGCCCAGAGCACCTTTCTTGCTGCTATTGCTAAGATCTAACGGTAAGGAACTGCCTGTCATGTCCATGACATGCACTTCAGGCACAACATGTCATCTGTCTAAGGTTTCAGTGCTGTCTGAACAGTGGAAATGCAAACTGGAAAAATGAAATATTTGAGATGCATTTAACCCATCTTTCCATTTTCAGCCTGTGTAGAATATACTGATGAGAGCAAAGAAAATTAACTCACTTCTCTCTGACAGAAACCACTAGACTTCCCCAAGAAACAGGCAAATATGACTTTCTCAAGTCTCAATGAAGGCTTAATCTATGAGAGCTCGAGGGCAGTGGGGTACGTGGCTTTTTACCTCCACCAGCCAAGGAGAGGACCATGGGATTGCTTCACACTCAGGTACATGCACACAAACTCCATTGAGGGCAAAGGAAAGATATCCATTAAGATGCCCAAACAAAAAAAGTTCATGGGAAAGGGAAATTCATCCATTGATTCTTCTGCAGCCGTTCATCTCGCCCCTGTCTCCACAGCATGGCCACAGAGACATGCTTCGAAGGAGCCACTGCAAGAGGCTATGGCTTCAACTACAGGCTCTGCACTGCAGAACCATGGTCTTTCATTTGGCTACTTCCAGTACCACGTGTGGGCAGCCATCACAGCTGGGGCTGGCCCTGGGTAAAGGAGGAGCAGAATGGCCAGGTAGGAGGTTGGACTAGAGCCATGTGAAACATGGGCAAAGCTACTGGGCATAAAGGCTGTGCATCTGCTGAAGAGGCCAAGATGTGCCAGCACAAGGGTCAGCTGTGTGCTTACCAGGAAATCTTCTTCACAGAATACCTTCCCATTGACAAAATAAAAGGCTTTTCCCCTCAGCTTTCGACCTGAGGAAAAAACAGAGAGAGAAGAGAAAGGTCAGCAGAGAGCAAGGAGAAAATGTGAGCAAAAACTGGCTGCTGAGAAGTGAACAACAACGAGGACATCCAAGCATGGCTGTCATACAGATGGAGAAGAGCACCCAATGCTGCTAGCACGGGTCTTCCCAGCCTCCAGCGCGACTAACCCCATCTCCTCTTCCACCAGCTGATGAACACCAATCGCTGGATCTGGACAAGAGTCTCACCTCCAGGCAGGAGGAGGTAGCTTTGCAAGCCTGGACCACCTCTTGGCAGATTACAACATGAAATAACCTGGCAAGAAAACCCCTCAGGAGAGGTGCAAGGAGAAAAAAGGGCATGCAGGTGATCTATACTTGACATTGTTCCTCAAAATGTCGCCTCCCATGCTGTTGCACTAGAAGGTGCCTCCAACCAGCAGCTGCCAGAGAAGCCACTGCAATACCTGACCACCCAGTCTGCCTCCAGCAGAGTGCAACACCGGAGCACCGAACATGCTTCTCTCTGCTCCCTACCAGCATATTCACGATTGCAGCTGCCAAAAATTTGAAAGTGCTTTTTAAAAAAATACTTTTTTTCAAACCAGCATGTCCTAACAGAGATAAGATGACAAAGTTTTTCCAAGAAAGGACTCTACACATGGGGAAGATTTGTATTTCCTGCAGCTTTTGTGTTTATGCCTCAATTCACCGTCTGTTTTCAGTTCCACGTAACTATGGCAATGCATGCTCAACACTGCCACCCTCTTCTTCTAAATGCCCTGTCTTTCCTGCTGGAGGAAAGGGCTAGGTTTTGTTTGTTTATAAAAATCTGCTCCTACCTCCTTGTAGCCGGGTTTCCCTATTCAGCCAGGGGACAGAAATGCAGCCTAACACTGGAGCGGCTCTGCTTGCTCGGCCAAGGAGCCTCAAGCATGTTCCTGGAGGCAGCACTCACAGCAGGGGGAGCAGCACTGCCCGGGCACAGCCAGGGCAGGACCTGCCCCAGGCTGGTTTCAGAGACCTGCCAGGCATTGCTGGAAGGAAATCAGAACCGAGACACCAGGGCCCAGAAGCCTTCTGCTCGATATGTGTGTATAATTAAAAAATTATCATCATCTGCTAGGTGTATAAACGCGGACAACTCACAGGACCAGTCCGGAGCTCACCTCTCAGTGCTTTATGGCATGCACCTACCTGGCGGCCTTCGACGATTAACCACACTGGCTGCAAGGTATTAAGAAAAGGAGGAAGCCAAGTAAAACCACTTCAACAAATTAAGAGCTTTACCATCTCCTGCACACGCCAGAGGGCACTCCCAGGCAGGGAAATAACTCACGCTGCTCCTCGGGAAACCCAGGTGCTCCAGTGAAGCTCTAAAGTTTTGCCAGTGAATTCAGACAGATCAACACTTCACCAGTAGCCCTCAGTGCCCTGCCCAGGCAGGAACGAGCCTTGGTTTGGATATGCAGCAGCTTCGTGGTTAAGCTGGTGTTGCTCAGCTGGGAGGCACAGGAGCCAGAAGCACGCTGCCTCGACACGCTCATTATCCTCCGTCTTCCTCTAATCCCCGCTGGGGACAACTTCGTTACCCAGAGGTCAGAGACGACCCAGGGCACCAGCCCATCCTCGCACCAACACAAGTCTAAGAGGAGGCACGGAAGAAAACTATACAAAGCCGAAAGCATCATGCTCTGATTTCTCTCACCCACCCTGACGCTTTGCCAAGGCTGCTGACACCAAAACAGGACCTGGAGCCCAAAATAAAAAGTATCTCATATTGGACGTGTTAGCTTTGTGGCCCACAACCCCGGGTGCATATTCGTATGATAACCCCTCCTGTCTGCCTGCCTGCCCACAGGTAAGGCTGGCACGCTCGACGGCAATCGCAGAATCCCAGTTTCTGAGGAGGGGAAGGAGAGGCATAGGTATACCTGGGATTTGCAGCACCCTTGTCAACAGTGGTCCTAAGCAAGTTAACAACAAGCCTAATGCAGCAAGAAGCACCCCTGAAAATCGCCCGCTGATTAAATACAGCATTGGGATTTGTCACTCCTAAAAAACAAAAATACAAACAAAAAGCATTTAACTTTGATTTTAAATTACACAGCAGCATGGGCTCCAATTTAGCAGGTGACCAAGCGACTTTCCACCTGTATGCAATGTCTCTCCTTAAAGACAAGCTGGCAGCAGTGAGGAAAAACATACGGGTGGAGCCATGCAGTGAGGAGACGCTTCTTTGGACGACGGCCGGGGCGCAAGCAGCAGCCGGCACAGCCGCCGGGAGTCGTCACAGCAGCGGGAATGAGGGTTGGATCGCTGCCACCGCGTCATTCTTCCATGGTGACAAAACCAGCATTTACCAGCCATTCTGCACCCGGTGTATTTTTAACCCTGTGACATTAGCAGGTCAGGATTGATGGCAACAGACCTTCAGAGAAGGTGCCACAGCTGGTGCACTATGTCTGGGCTTTGCTGCAAGCTCATTCAGCAGAGGGATGAACTCCTTTATAGAGGATTTATAATGTGGCTTTGGGTGTTACATGGGCCCGTGACGAAGAGGTGTTGACACCAAGGGCATTTTGAGGGAAAGGTGGAGGATGATTTAATTTCTTTAGGGAAGAAGTGGTCATTTTAACTATTTTTAGCTCCTCTCCATAACTTTCTTTCAGTCCCTTGCACAAGTGACAATGGAAATTTGCCAAAAAAGCAAATAACTAGCTACTCCTGCAGCCACCGTGGGAGTGGTACATGCAAACAGAGCCAATTTCTTCCTCTGCTGCCCACATCGGGATGGACTTCTCCTCCCACCATCCCTTTGAGGTGAGGAAGCACCTCCACGTCATACACATGGGAAAGCAAGATGCAGGAAAATCTCACTTCCCCAGGCTGCACTGGGGACCGTCCCGGTGGAGCTGGGAAATGCACATTCTGGCTGTGGCCACATCAGTAAAACAAACCGTGCTGGGACTGCCCCACAGCGCAGAGCTGGGCAGCAGTGGCTTCTGTCCCTGCGCTGAGCTCCCTGCAATGGGACAGCACCTTACAGCAAACCAAGTCCCTCTCAAAAGCAATGCTTCCGACAGTGTGCCTACAGAAGCTGGCACAGGTTTCGCCTGAGCACAGTTCAACGGCATGCTGTCGTAATTTCACTGAAAGGAAGGACTGAGAACTTAAATGGCACATAAGGAACACATATTGATCACTGCCTACTTTAAATATGCACCACTTTAAATATGCATCATGGCAACTACAGAGACGATATCCTTTTATAAACCCAGGAGTATTAATGCGTGGCTTGCCGCTTTCAGGATTAATTGCTCTAGTACATGTCTTAAGCTGCTGGCTCCTAACTGTATTTCACTTTTCTTCACCCTGAATTTAGCTAATCTCTCACCTGAAAAAATTCAGAAAATTAAAATTCTTCGGCATTTCAGCCCTACTGTCTTCATTCGTTGTTACAAGAATTCTTGTTCCTCTTGCTGACAAGAGGTTTGAGCCTCGTGGGTTTTTTATGTACTGCTCATCCCTAACATGTCTGTCTAATCTGTTTAGCTATGGGACTTTCAGGATGACCTCGAGGTCATTTAAGCACCAATTTCAGAATATTTCAAGCTTAGTCACTAGTGCCTTTGTGCTAAAACAAATGTACTTTGCTTAGCAGCTGATAACAGGCATACCACCAGGCTGCACTCCCAGGATGCTGGTGCTTTTGTCCACTGTTTTCCCAAATGACAGCTCTCTCCTTTTGAAGTTCATACAGAGCAGCATTTACTAGGGACTTGACATGGTCCAAGGAGTATGCTGGGAGATGCATCATTTGCTTGCTGGGGAGCTGGACCTAACTTTCTCTTTTGAAGTTGCTTTTTCATTATTTATTACAAGGACAATGGTGTTACAAACCCATGTTCAAACACAAGAGATTGCTCTCAATGCATGCAATGGTGCAGGGTCACCAGAGATCCCAGGGCTCTCTGGAGATGCATGACCAGGACCTCACATTGCTGGGGAGGCAGCGTGGACTTCACGTATCACTCATCTAAGCACCTTGGAGCTCCCTGCGGTATCTGCACAGCAGACGGGTGAGAATCACTTCAGGCTGGCAGCTGCTCCTGGGTCCCTCTCACACTGGCAACCCTGGGCCTCCATCATTACAAAAATCAGTCCTTCTTAGAGTGCCACAGCTGTTGGATAAATTTGGACATGTCATTACTAATGGCAGGTTAAATACAAAAGGATTTCAGTTTCCGGATTCACTGGATGTAACCTCCTGATGCACTAGTGGGACAGCAAGCTGGAAACACCACCCGTCTAGCTGCTAAGGATCAAAGCAAGATGCTCCTCCTCCTCAGTCCTCGGCGGCTCTGGCCCAAGCTGCAGTCCTTCCCCCAGTTTTCATTTCCCCCATGTAGAAGTACAAGGGAGTTTGGATCAAAGAACCTTCTCTGGTCGACGCAGACCCTGCAGGCAGCACAAGAGGCACGGGCAGAGCCTAGAGGTCTCAGCAACCCCACACTGTGCAGAAGTCCCTGCTGCCCCAGTTCAGCAACACAAGACCCACTGGTTTGCCCGGCCAGCACACGCATTTATGGAGCCCTCCATAGATACTGACTTTGCTGACAGGCAGTACGGTCTACTACCATGCACACCAGGCTAGGCTGAGCATCGGAGAGCTCTATTTAATTTCTGCCATCTGTGCTATTTCTGTTGGCCGCCATTAAAGCTGGATGCAGCGCTGAGTCTGACGCAGAAGCATCGGTATTTCCAATCCGCTCTTGAATTGGGCTGCATGAAAAGATCACTTAGATGCCTGCACATCCTCCAAATCAGGTAAACTCAGACTGTGATCAACCAGCAAACACCCCAAGTCAGATCAAAGCCTTTGTGAAACTGTGGGCAGAAGGACAGGATGTCTTCTAGAAAAAACTGTGCTAAGACACAGTAGCTCTATTACCATTGAGATGTTCAGTCTCTCGCTCAACTGTACCAGCTGTATTGTAAAGTTGTGAA